TATATAAAAAAATTTCTAAAGGAGGATTTAGAAGATATAAGATCTATTCTAAAAATATGCAAATCACAAAAATATAAAAGTTTATATTCATTAGAAAAAATTAACAAACCAGTGCTGGACACTGTTACTAGGTGGAATAGCACCTATAGAATGCTAAAAAACCTAAAGGATAATAAAATATTTTACTTAAAAATGGGCCATATATATTTAGAAACTTTTATAAATTCAAGACTCTGGGATAGAATTGACGCATATCTCACCGTCTTATCTCCTGTTAATTTATGTACCATTAAACTGCAAGAAAAATCTTGTACAATCGGAGATTTTTTTAAATTATGGCTTGAATGCAAATTAGATTTAGAGGAAATAAATAATGAATCCTCGAATAATTTGATTAATTGTCTGGATTATCGTCAAAAATATCTTTTTGATAATAATGTTTTTAGAAGTGGGATCTACATGGATCCCAGATTTAATTATCAGAATGGAATCTATCCATCCGAAAGTGATAAATTGCTGGCCAGGGTAAATTTATAATATATAACTTTAAATTAAATAAATTTATTTTATTTTAGGAACATCTGATGTCTACGTGGAGACAAATACAAATTTTTAATAAGCCAAAAGATAATCCAGCTCTGAGTGGCTCTCCTTTAATCCCTGTAAGTTGTAAAAAAACCAGATTAGATGTATATTTGGAGCGAGAAAGCGCTAATGCTCCAATATACCAAAATATTGAAATCCTTGATATGAAGACCAAAATTAATGCTTTAATATATGGTCAAAAATTGCCATCTGATCAAAATATTTTGCAATATTGGCAATCCAAAAAATTTCAGGATCCGGAATTATATGCCCTATCGCGAGTAGTTCTAGCCGCTCCTTGCTCTCAAGTATCTGTTGAGAGATCATTCAGTGCTCTGGGATTGGTCCTTACACCGCTACGAACAAGATTAGAGAAATCTATATTAAATGATATTTTATTAATTAAACTTAATAAAAGTGTATTAAATAACGTTATATTTTGATTTTTATTATATTTATATAAAATTTTTATTTGTATATATTATATCATGTATTATTTAATTATATATAATCATTTTACTAATTAAAATACGAATAATTGAAATACAAAATAAAATTGTTACCCAAAATCTTGAAGTACTGAAAAAAATCTAAATTCACAAATACTTGTTTTAAGTGCTGAAATTTTTAAAATTGAGGTCTTTATAGTCCCACCTTTCTTTTGATGAAAGATAAATTTGTTTTATTAAATCATGTTTTTGGGAATTTTATATAAATCTAAGTGCTAAACTGCTAGATTTTCAAAAAGGGCTAAATTTAATAAAGAAAAATACTAAATATATTTGAGGGGAATTAAATATTTTTAACTTACCTAAACCTTGACATTTCGCTGATAAATGTCCAAACTTTTGTGCCATCTATGACCACAATCTTAAGGCTTACATGACGAGGTAACGTTTGAAGTTTTTATTAATAAAAAAAATATTTAAAAAAAATATATATTTTAATGTTATATTTTATCTGACTCTGAATAACGAATAAAAAAGAAAGATTTTTAGAGAGATTTTTATATAATCTTAAATTTTTTTTTTAATAAATCCCCCATTTCACTAACACATGTTAAGAAATCCCCCATCAATATAACCCAAAATTTTAAAACTAATTTTTTTTCAAATATATCTGAATCTGAAAGAAAAAATAAAATGAAAAAGAAAATTATGATTATGATTTATAATAAAGGGGTATTTAAAATTTTTTTAAGGAAAAAAAATAGAAGGCGAGGAAACGTTAGAAGTTTTTCTTTTTATTAATATAAAGAATTATATATTTAAAAAAAATATATAATGTTATATTTTATCTGACTCTGAATAACTAATAAAAAAGAAAGAATTTTAGAGAGATTTTTATATAATCTTAAAATTTTTTTTAATAAATCCCCCATTTCACTAACATCACATGTTAAGAAATCCCCCATCAATATAACCCAAAATTTTAAAACTAATTTTTTTTCAAATAAAATAGAAGGCGAAGGGTGAAGTTTTTATTTTTATTTTTATTATAAAAAGAATTATATATAAAAATTTTTTTAATAATAATAATGTGGTTTTACGTCTTTATAGAGAAACCATTATAGAGAATGTATTTTATAGAGAAACATTTATAGAGAAGAAAACAATTATAGAGAATGCATTTATAACAAATGGTTTTATAGAGAATGTCGTTTATAGAGAATGATTTTAAAATGAATGTAGAGAATTATTTTGTAGAGAATTATTTTGTAGATCTTGATTTTATAGAGAAATATTATGTATGGGACAATTAGAGAGTAGTATATGTAGATTAATACGTAACAACATTGGGGATATTCTCAATATAACTGATGAAAAACATATTCCAACTAATAAAAAGGGAGTATGTAAAGATTGTCCAAGAGTGAAGGAGGTAAAAACAACATTTATTTGTTTAAATTGTTAAAAATTCATTAGATCATATGCATACATTTTGTCGTGAATGTTAGTACAAAAATTTACATGATATTTGATGATTAGTATTTTATTTAATATTTGATATCTTTTTATAAAATTTATATAATTATCTATATTCGACATTCATTTAATAAAATATATAATAAAATTTGCATTTTTTTAAATACTTTATGGTGATCAAAATATAATTAAAGAAAGGTCTCAGAAAAAAATTTTTATTTTAGTAACTTTAGTAAAATTTGCATAACTGTTTTTAGAAGTAACTATTAATCTAAGATTTTGTATTTATTATTTCCAATAATATTTGAATATATATTCAAAATTGTATTTGTAGATCTCAAGTTTTAATATGTTCTGAGATATTAATCAAAATTTGGGATAAAATAGACCCCACCTTTGTAGTTAAGGGATTTTTTTCCACCTTTATAGTGAAGGATCAAAAAGTATGGGTTGAATTTTAAAAGGAGAAATATTTATATGCTAGGTTTACAATAAATATTCATATTTAAAACTGCCTTTCGCGACTCGAATTGATAGACTAAAATAAAAAAAATATAAAATATTTTCAGTATAAAAAAAACTAAATCTATCCAATTGAATAAGTTAGGTCAGGTCTATTATTTTGTCAAAACTAAAAAACCAAGAATTTGACAATCCATAAATATATTTGGCTCGTAATATAAATTTGAGTTCTTGCTGTTTAATGTCGTTGTACATTGTAAAAGCACGACTTTACTTAAATAACGCTCAAATTATAGAAGTTAGAAGGCACCACTTTTTAATATTTTACAATCTAAAAGCCATCAAAAATTTAAGAAACATAATGAGCCAATATTTTTTATTAAAAAAAATTAGATCGGTTATTTTTTTAAATTAAATGGGATAGGACCTTATTAACAACAAACCTGGTTAACAATATATTTTTTTAATAATTTTGAAATAATAAATAATTTTCAAAATATCTTTATTCTAACCTTGTTTAATAAAAAGAGTTTAAAAATATTACATATGACAATTATCAGTTTTCAATTTTATATATAAAAAAATCAAAAATAAAGATTATTTATGGTATATCTTCACTGAAATTTTAATTTAACATATTAATAATATCTATTTTTACTCATTTGCTTTAAAAAAATTTTAAAAATTTCAATAATAACGATTATGATAATTGTCACTTTCCTGTAGTACATCTTCACTGAAATTTTAATTTAACATGTTAACAATATCTTCATTTACCCATTTGCTTTAAAAAAATTTAAAAAGGTTCAATAATAACGATTATGACAATTGTCACTTTCCTGTAGTACATCTTCACTGAAATTATAATTTAACATGTTAACAATATCTTCATTTACCCATTTGCTTTAAAAAAATTTTAAAAAGGTTCAAAAATAACGATTATGACAATTGTCATTTTCCTGTGGTACATCTTCACTGAAATTTTAATTTAAAACATATTAACAATATCTATTTTTACCCATTTGCTTTAAAAAATTTAAAAAAGTTCAATAATAACGATTATGATAATTGTCACTTTCCTGTGGTTCATCTTCACAGAAATTTTAATTTAACATGTTAACAATATAAAATCTATGCTATGCTTTAAAAAAATTTTCAAAAATAACGATTATAACAATTGTCACTTTTCTATGGTACATCTTCATTGAAATTTTATTTTTACATCTTAATATTAAAAATTATAACCTATTTAATTTAGGATATAATAAATCAAATAAGTTAAAAATAACGATTATTACAATTTCCACTTTTTAATACATTACATCTTCATTGAAATTATAATATAAATTTTTTTTTATATAAATTTTTTTTTACCCATATATGTCGAAAAAAGTTTAAAATAACGATTATGAAAATTGTCGGTACATCTTTATTAAATTTTTATTTTAATTTAACATGCTTATGCTTACTAATCCATTTACTTCAAAAAATAATATCAAAAAAATAAAACATTATAAAATATGAAGATCTTTGAAGATCGTTGATCAAAAATATTTTTAAATAAAAGATCTTCAAAGATCTAGATCTTTGAAGATCGCTGTTAAAAAATTTTTAAAAATAAAAGATCTTCAAAAGATCTCGATCTTTGAAGATCGTTGCTCAAAATTTTTTAAAAGTAAAAGATCTTCAAATTTTACGATCTTCAAAGATCTAGATCTTTGAAGATCTTTTTATTTTGAGCAAATGTACAACTCTGATGGAGGTATAGGATGGCATAGTTACGCGCCTGTTTAATCTTATATCACCTATGTAAAATATAAAAATTTTGTTAAAACTTTTAGTCTATTTAGCCTTTATTTTTTTTAAATAAAATGTAAGTTAAATTGATTATGTAATTGGACAGTTCTATTAAATTTTTTAATATTTCTTAACTTTTAAATATTTTTTTTATAGTGTAAATATTTTATAATTGTATTTGATCAGTTCGATTTTTACATTAACTCAGTATACAATGACAGACGACAATCTTCTTATTTTATCAAAATTTAGTCATGACTAACAAATGATTCCAGCAGTGTAATCCATAAATACATTATTTGTTAGCCAGGCAAAAATCTTCTTATTTTATCAAAATTCCTTATCATGCCTAGTAAAAGGAAAAAGTTTGATTCAAGATTTCCAGCAGTTTTAATCAATAAATATTTTATTATAATAATGATAATTGATAGGCAAAAATTAAAAAAATAATGCAACTTGATGAAAATATTGGGAAGGTAGCTTCTACTGTTCCTATAGTTATATGTAAATAAAAATATATAAATATTTATCCTATTTTAATAGCTCAAGCTTTGGAATCATTTTTGAAATGTTTTTTATTGGATATTGTTGATAAAAATCCAAATCAAAGGGTTAAAACCTTATCACCACAACTTGTGTAAGTTATATCTAAATAATATTTCTAAATAAATGTAATCAAGGATATTTATATTTTTTTAGACATATAAAGTAATAAATTTATTTTGTATATTTAAAACAAAATATTTTTTTAAATATTATTTACAATCCATTATAATTTAGGGGTGTACTGATACCACTTTTTGGAGGTTAATCTAATAATAAATTGGTATTGCCCTAATCTGTATTGCCTTGATATATATTTAATAGGTCCTAGTTTTATTATACCATAAAATAAGTCATTTAAAAATATACTATTTTCAAATATTAATTAAATTTTCATATAGGTTTATTTATTCATTAATATCAATAAAAAAGTATAAACATTGATAATTGTTTTAATCATTTTATATATCAAAAGTCCATCTATCATTTAGAAATTAGAATCCCTAGTTATTTTATAATCTATATAAGTTTCTAGAATTTTTGTAAAATTTATTAAATTTAAAAATTTATATGCATTATTAAAATAAATGATTTTTATATTTCATTTAATCTGGTTAGTTTTTTTTAAAAAAACAATCGCTTCAATTATATAAGAATACTTAATTTATGCCTAGTATACTTAATTAATGCCTAAACATATTTACTTAAATATCAATAAATTAAAAAATTATTTTTAATTAAGACACACTTTTATTGGATCTAATAAATAAATTTAATAATATTGGCCAATAAACTATATTTAAAAAAATAATTCTTGTCTGAAAAAAAGTATCAGTACACTATTAAAAATAAAACCTATATTTTTTCTTTCTAATTGGATTAGAGGAGCAATTAATTAAGCAAATCACACTTACTATAAAGGCCTTATACATGGGGTTGTTAAAAAGCCCGCTTTGGTTCAATTTTAAAAACAGCCAGATTTAGATCTTAGCAAAAATGATATTATATACTCTCGAGGTTTGACAGGTATCTAAACCTTTTTGCCATCTTTGAGCAAAATCTCCAGTCTTAAATAAGATTATTTTGGCTAAATTCTTAATCATATCATATTTAAGAATTGACCCGAATCTGGCTTTTTAACAACCCTTACTTTCTTACCTATAACTTTAATTTCTTTTTCTATCTTTATAAAGCTTATTTTATTTTATTTTTGTTAAAAATGGAGATTTCAATATTTTCCAATATTGTTTTCTAAATTATTATTTTGACAGAAAAGAATCTACCTTACAAAATCCGAGATGGAACTTTCTTGAAAAATTAATGGCTTCCGTACCTGACCAGAAACAATCAGTAGATATTTATTCAAATAAACCAAACACTAGTAATAGAATATCGAAGAACGATTCATTAGCAGGTGAAAACACTGTGTCATCTGATGATGAAGACCATCGTGAAATTGAAAAAAATAGTATTCTCACTCAGAATGATAGTGGCTCTGAAGAAAATATTTAATAACAAAATCAACTAATATTTTAACGTTTAATTATATGACCAATATTTTTCTATTATAAATAACATTATAATGCAAAAAACAAAATATGGAAAATAAAAATCAATTTGGTTTAAATCGTAATATTAAATATCAAGTTTTTTTATTGCGATTTAAAAAAATAATAATTTTCAAAATTCATCACTTACAAATTGCTTGTAATTTTGCTTCAAATAACTCTTTGAATATTATTTAAACGTATTTTAAAAGTTTAACCCATTAATTACCTAGATATGATAAACAGAAAAAATCTAGAAGTGGATTGCTTAACTCTATAAGCAAGGAAATAGTCATTAAAAGATATCCAGATCAAAGGACAAGCAATTGCCATTAAATGGGGAGGGGAAAGGAGTGAAAATCCAAGTAATTCTTGGTGTAAGCTTGTAAAAAGGCAAAAGACTTATTAAAATCATAAAACTTTAGAACTGAAAAAAAAATTTGATAAATGTTTAAGTTTTAATTCAAAAGCTTTAAAGATGTGCAAGAATCTAGGTATAAAAAAACTAATGGGAAGGTGGGGAAGATTCTTTAGCAAATTAAAAAGGGATTGCTTCAAGATGTCAAAATTTTTGATAAAGTTAAGTCGAAAATTCCATATGGGGAATGATATAAATGTCTGGGAGTATGTATCAAAATTAAATACTATTTTTAATGTTCCAAAAATTTAGAATTTGATTTGCAAATACAAATAACAAAATTAGAGCTAATTGACTTAATTTCTAGCATTTATTCATATCAAGGAAATCTCTTACGGAAAAAAATTATAGAGATAGAACAATACATAACCTTGCTAATAAACTTGACCCAAGATATTGTTAATTTAATTTTAAAGACAATAAAATTGATGAATGATTCAAAATATTATTGAACCAGGATAACTATATGATGTCGCGAGTATACTGTTGAATAAAAACCTGATTTAGGGTCGATTTTTCAAAACAGCCTGATTAAAATTTTTAGCCAAAATAATACCATCGAGATATGACTGATTGATGTTCCAAGTATTTCTACCAGCTATGAGCAAAATCTTTAAGCTTACATAATGCTATTTCGATTATAATCTTAATCGGGCCGGTTTTTTAAAACCGAGCCGAATCTGACTTTTTAACAACACTAGCTGTGTGAACAAATGGCAAATTAGTCGATTTTAGAGGTCTGGAATCTTTCATTTTCGAACGAAGAAAAGGAATTAAATAATTAAAATTATTTACATGAAAAATATTGATCTCTAAAAATAATTTTTTTAAAATGAAATTTTCCCTTCTTCTCCGAGATTTACATCCCAAGTTCCAGCTACGACCATTCTAAGTGAGCGTGAATTTTTTTGTAGCTGGGGTGGCTAATCTCAAACTCGACAAGATCCTCAATATGTTCTTCCACTTTAAAATAAAATTATTTTTTATGCATGAATATAATTATTTAATTTATCATATTATAATATTGGAAAAATAAATCTTATTTCAAATAAATGATTAAATTTTAATGTTCATAAATTTTTTTTTTAAAAACAATTAAGAAAAAAAAATAGAAAACCGCTGCCAATATAAACTGTGGCGTGAAAATCGACGAGACGCCAATGGCCTTAAAGTGAAACGTCACCTCTATAATTTTTTTCATCGGGGTAAAGGAGTCAACTCTACATAATTTATTATTCTCAAACATTAATTATATGAAAGGTGGCATTTTGCCTGATATCTCCGAAGGTATAAAATTTAAACCTGAAAAATTTTCACAAATATAGCAATTTCAAAATTAAAAGTTATTGGCCACTAAGATTTTTTTAAAAATTTTATGATAGTATGTTCATAAAATTTAATGGTAAAATGAAGGAATATTTGAAATTTTGTATAATCAACAAATGTTCCTTATATATTATCGAAAGTTGCTATAAAAAGTAATCCTTATTAAATATTATCTAAGTGAGAATATTTTTTTTTGAAATCTCCTATAATTTTAATATCAAATAGTTTAAAAAAAAAATAATTCAAAAAATCATTTGAATTTATATAAAATTTTGAAAATGCATCATTTTAAAATTGAGAATGGAAAAATTTTATATGTAGGAATGATTATATAACATTAATCAGCTCAGAGTAAGCATTTACAGAATAAGCTCTTTAAATCGACACTTATTCTGATTTCAAGAATCTTTTATACATAATCAAGTATAACAATTTCCCCCTACCTAAATACCTTAGTCATTCTATTTTGTATTTATTGTATATTGAAAAAATAAATAAATTTTTATTCAATAAGGCAAATTCAAATATATTAAGCATAACAAAAAAATGCTTTGTAATTTTTATATTAATTTTTTGATATTTGAGGGTTTCATTAAATTTTGTAAATCCAATAATTCTTTACTAAAAGGATCTTCTTGGTTTAGTTCAGGTAATTTTCTTTTGTTAATAGAATTTTTGGTACTTTTAGAAGAATTTATCACACTAAAAACATCATCTGTCTCATACTGGCAAATGTCATAATATTCATTTTCTCTTTCATTATCATCAAATTTAATATCTTTACTAGGTTCTTTAACATTTTTATATACAGTCTTGGGTGGATTCTTTAATTCTTCATTTGGAATGTTATTTACATATTTTTTATCATTAGGATCATTTATTAAATCCCCTGTGTAAACTGTAATTCTTTTAAAAGCGTTTTTTAGATAATTTTTCTCTATTTCAAAAGGTTCATTTCTAAATAATTGCCCTATCTTAAATAAAATAAAATACATTTATTTATTTAAATATTTTTACTGATTTTAATGATGTATTTCTTGGTAGACTAAACATAATTTGTTTTGATTTTTGGTGAGTTTTGCATAAATGGTATGCATTAGGGAGGTTTATTATTGAAAAATTAGGATCACAACAATCTATAGAAGTATTAGCAAGATAATTAGGACCACCCCATGGTACATCTACATATATGACATCAATGAATGGTCTTCTAAAACCTCTTTCAAAAAGAATTCTAAAGTCAGCCTGTATAAAATCAATATAATTTGCAACATTATATATCTCTGCATTTATTTTTGCTGCTTCTAATTTGATAGGATCAATATCTACCCCAAAAACTAATAAAATTTGATTATTTAAATATAACCTATAATAATACCAAATAAAAAATGATTTGCTGCTTGAATACATGTACTCCCAACACCACAACACACATCTATAAATATATCATCTTGGGACCTAGATGTGATATGGTTAGCAATTTTTTCGTGGCATACAGAAAACCAACTCTCTTAAAATAATTTTATAAGGAACAAAAACATATAAAAATAGACCTTCATCCATTTTAATTCCTTCATCAAACTTAGAAAAAAGATGGTATCTCTGCACCCAATATTTGGATAAGTTAAAATTTGTTGAACTTAAATCAGGATTATCAATATCTATTGTATCTATAAAGCTACTGTTTTTAGTGCAATCGGAGTTATATTTTAAGGATACTACGTTTACGAGACTATCATTAACATTTTGATGGATTTGTTCATTAGTAATTTCAATATTTTCTGTGGTTTGCTCATCATTTACAACTTGAATATTTTTTAAATCTTGATTGTCTAATAAATCTTTGACCTGATTGATTGCAAAGGCTAACGAGTTTCTTTTCTTATATTGAGATTGTCTGGCCTTTTTATTTTTATCAATCTTATTAGCCAACAAATCTAATTTCATTTTGGGAAATTTATAACAAACGTCAAATGACCGATTTTAAATTATAGAAAAATGACGGAACATTAGGAAATATATTCTTCAATAGAAATTTTTATTTAATTTGATAATCTTTTAAATTCTTTAATCGAATTCAATTATTCAAGTTTTTGATGTATATATATATATACTCTTTATTTCTAGTAAAATTTTATTTCATCTCTTGTTAAGTGGAATTCTCCCTGAAACTTGCATTCAGAAAAATAAAATGAAGATATTTGTCTCGAAATAGGCTTAATAATGCACTTAAGATGATTATAATTTATGTGGATTATTATAAAGATAAACTGATATTAGTAAATGAGTGTGTCTATGTCACTTTAAATTAGAATTATTGGCATTAATATAATCCAACATAATTATAATTTTTGATCATTTAGATGGTATTGATCAATCATTCATAATGTAAACGTCAATAATAAAGCTGTTGGCCTTAATCTTAATAGCAAATATTTTATATAATAATGCTAATTGTTTTTATTTTTGATAATTTTTTCGACATATTTAGCATCTACTCTTATTCAAAAAGTTACGCTAAAATCAAAATTTGAAAATTCTGAGTCTGATGCCCCGAGAAATAATAACATTGCAAATAGGACAATGTGGAAATCAGAGTAAACCTTTATTACATTTAAAAAATATTTTATTATCTATTAAGTTGGTATGGAATTTTGGAAGACCCTCTGTTTAGAGCATGGTATCAATTCAGGTAAAATTATATATATGTAATATATAAGTCATTTTATTTATTAGATGGTATATTAGAAAATTTTGCAACTGAAGGGATTGACAGAAAAGATGTTTTCTTTTACCAAGTACCTAATATTTTTAGTGATATATATATATACCATTTCTAAGGCAGATGATCAACATTATATACCAAGGGCCATTCTTTTAGATTTGGAACCTAGGGTTATCAACTCTATTCTATCTTCCCCATTTGCAAATCTCTATAACAGAGAAAATATATATTTATCTGAACATGGTGGAGGTGCTGGTAATAATTGGGGAAGTGGATTTTCTCAAGTTTATTAATAAATAAATTTTATATTTTTTGTTATAAATTAAAAAAAATTTAAATTTATTTTATAGAAAAAACTTTTTATAATAAATTATTTTTAAGTATCCCAAAATTATTATCTATAATATAAAATTAAATATTTATAGGCTGGTCAAAGAAGTGAAGAAATTTTTGACATTATTGATAGAGAAGCTGATAACAGTGACAGTTTAGAAGTAAATAAGGAAATCTATAATTTATTTTTAAAAAAATCAGGGTTTATCAATTTACCAAATGTATATAAGATTAATAATTTTATTTTTGTGATTAAACATATCACATTTTTATAGATGAAATTACATTATTAGACAGTTGCACAATGTGCGCCTAGCATTATAAGAAATGAATCTGACCCTTAATCATAAAAAAAAACAACATTAATATAAAAGAAAAATATTTATAGTAAGTCAATACATTGATACTGAATTACCATTCTATTCATAGGGTATTCAGAATTTTCCTATAGGTGGAGGGGGCACTATTGCCATAAATTTTATTGAGGTTTTTTAAGTCCCTAGTGTTGTTAAAAAGCCTGATTCAGGTTGATTTAGAAAAATGGCCCGATTAAGATTATAACCAAAATAATCTTATGTAAGCCTAAAGATTTTGTATATAGATGGGAGAAATGCTTGGACATCTATTTGCAAAATCTCAATGCTTACATAATATTATTTTTGCTAAAATCTTAATTGGGATATTTTGAAAATCAACCTAAATCAGGCTTTTTAACAACACTATTAGGTTTACTTATTGTAAAAATTAATTTGGGGTTGGTTTTCAATTTATTTTTACATAAATGCTTCTTCTTTTCTAAAAATTTTGAACTAGTCATTATTTTTAAAAATAAATAATTTTCCTTAACGAGTTCTTATTTATAGTGATAAATTGTGCACATTTTCGTAGGGTTTATTTGCTTACAATGATATTTACAAAAAACAGGATAATTATTGGTGGGGTAGGAAATTTCTCACTTAAATAAAAAAATCTTTTGTTGATCACAAAAATTGATAATTTATTTAAGATTTTAAAAAAAATATCAATTTTTATGCATAAAATGCTCACTATTATTTTAAAAAAAAGGTGTTTTGAATTGTCATGTGATCGAAATTCCTGTTTTGATGATTCTCAAAAGAAAAATTTTTCATTCAAAAAAATTCCTTAAGATTTTTGATATTAGCAGAAATATGTTATTATTTTTTTTTTCAAAATTAATTCATGTTTTCTAAAATCTGATTTTATAGGAAATGTTTACCATCATGTTTGGAATACCGACCCTAAAGAGGCATTAGACAATTTTTGCTGTGAACCTTTATTGAATTTAATACAAATTATATTTTATCTTTCCTTAGATTTTTTCAGAGTTGTTAAAGGATCTAGATATAAAAATGTGGTATCTGTATCTGTATCTAGATAGATTTTTGATTAAAATATCGGTATTTAGATATTATAGACGATGTATCTGTACCTAGATCCATTTAAAAAGTATCTTTTAACAACTCTGGATTTTTTAATATAAATTTTAAAAGACTTCAAAGGCTATTGGCTAAATTATCTACAATTCGTAGGGATAGCTGTATTTTAAACATGTTGAAATGTATTTCCGGTAAAGGCATTCCAAACACGAGAGAATAAATTTCCGGGAAAAAATCAGATTTTTAGGAATTTTTATATAAAAAAAAACGCGATCAAAAAATGAATTAAATTTGAAAAAAAAATAAACACATTGCCACGTGACATATATAACGGTGAACTTGGTGAGGTCGAGATTTTTTGCTTCCCTGGACAGGATTCGAATTTTTATTTCATCTTTTAAGTATAGTTCGCGAATATTCTTTCTAGCTCAATCCCGGATTTTTTTTTTTATCATTTTACCACCCGGAATCATTGACATATATTAATATCTAGACTGACGATGCATTCATCAAATGTACATCAATGAAAATCAGCTGGGGACGCCCTTTTGATTTAAACGAGAGGCCAATTTATTCCTGTCTGATGCAAACTTTATTAAAGAATAGCCTGATCATCGAGATAATAAGGAAGCAAGTTATCAATTTAATAGTAATTTTTAACTTGAGAGTAATTGCTATATGCGTTATACCAAAATGGCAGGTCCAGCTGATTTCCATTCAACGGCGCTTTCAAATGCATTATTATTAACACATCGTCAGTCTAGTTATTATTATATGTCATTGGTTCGGACCGAATCGCAAGTTTCGTAAGCAGATAGAATAAACTCAGAACCTTTAGAATCCTAAAAGATTTTCCAGAACCCGGATTCTAATAGGGTTTAGGGGTTCGAGAATAGTTTTTTCTTCTTCTTCCATTTATATTCATTATTATAAAAAAAAACTTTTTTTTCTTCATGGAATCATTTATCTTGATTTATGTTGCGCATGCACATACATTACAGTTAGCTCATTAATAATTCTTTATAAAAATAAATAAATTTATGCGAGAAAGATTTTTGACCGAGCGAGGCAAGAGTTTTTTTTAAGGACTTTTTAGAAGTCCGGTGATTTTTTTAAAAAAAATTATGAAAGAAAGAAAGAAAGAATGGAAGGATTAAAGAAAGAGATGAGGGATTTTTGTGACAACGTATAAAGTTAATCGAGGTGAAACAAATTGAATTTCACCAGCTAACTTAGCTGAGGTTTTGACTACCACTCATAAGGTAATATAACATTAGATACCACAATCTGAGCGAAATGTATATACCTTTCAGATTAGTGGATTTTGTTTCAAGCAGGGATGTGAACCCTTCAACAAAAAAAAAGGGTCTGGGTTCGGGTCCTGTAATAAATTTTTAAAGGACCCGGGTCCAGGGTTCGGGTCGGGTCCAGGGAACATAAAAATAATGACTCAAAATAAGACTTTTTTTTCATTCATTTTTATTATACTTCAATATATATACACATTCATAATTAAAAATGAAATAATTTAAATTTTAAATATTTTATTCAATCGAACGATCATAATATCTTCTAAAATATCATCCTTGAGATTTCCACGTAAATTAGACAATATGTATTTCAAGGAAGAAAATCCACGTTCTACGCTGACCTAAAATAGATAGTTATCTTTATAATATATAAATTATTGTACCTGTGTCGCCGGTACAGCCATGACGAATCTAGACAAGGTATACAATTCAGGATATATTAGAGAATTTTCCTCCTAGAATGTTAAAATATTTTTATCCCTATTAATTCTCTTAACTTCTGAGAATTTTTCAATTAAAGATACAATCGATATTTTTTTCACCTTTCTATCTGATCCTGATGATAATTTCATTTTTTTTTCTCTCGAGATCGTCAATATTACTATCATCATTACTATCGCTACAACCATTAGATGTTGAAGCCTCCAATATATTGTTAATAATAGAGTTATGGTTATGACATAAATCGTCGAGATGGTCTATTGCCATTTGCTTTTGCTCAATACTTAATAGAACTTGATATCGAGGATCTAAATATATTGAGGCATACACAACACTATTTTTTAAATATTGTTGCTCTCGTATTTTCATGTTTTCTAATATTTCGTATGAAAAGGAACTTGTAAATTTTTCTAATTCTAATCGACATCTCACCCATATGCCATAAAAATCGGATAAACACAACTGTTCTGACTGCAATCGTAATGTAGTAATTTTCAAAGGAACCAACACCCTAGTAAGGTCTTTGATTTGATTCCAATCATCCTCTGACAAAATGATTTCACATGATCCTATAATAAAATCATCACAGAAATCTTTTAAACTTATTAATCGCTCTAGCATCATACAGATAGAGGACCAACGGGTTGTGCAATCTAATATTGCCATTTACCTTTTCATGGATTTTAATATTCGTACAATTGTAGGAGTTCTTAAATATTTAGCAACATCCCTTGCTTTGTCAATTATAGTTTTAAAGATATTATTTTTGAGGGAATCATTAATAGCTAATTGTAGTGTGTGGGCTGCACATCTGATACAGTATATCTTCGTGGAAAAATCTTTTATTATCTCCGGTATGTCAAATTCACTTATGTCCTCAAAATTATTATCATCATTATTTATATCTATATCATCCATTTCATCCAATGAACATTCATTTAATAATTTAATAGATTTGACTAGATTAGCACCATTATCCGTAGTAATGGTATAAACGTTTCTTAAAGGAATATGGAATTTATTTAAAGTTTCTATTATCATTCTTTTTATATTTTCAGAAGTTGAACTTTCTTTAATCTCCTTCATTGCTAAATTACTTAAGATTATATTATTTCCTTTAATATATTGTATATTTATTCCTAAAATATTTCTCCCTAATCTTTGGGCGGAATCTTTTTTTAATGAAATTAATTTGTTTTTTGTTCCTTTTATAATTTTTGCTTGTATTTTTTTCGATTCATCAACCACTAAGTCCTTAATTTTAAAACGGTTAATTGATGTTCCAATTGCCTTACTAATAGGATCAATAATTATTTTTAAACCAGAATCCTCAATAATATTGAAAGGTCTTCCATTTATTGTAACAAGCTCAACTAAAGCATTCATCAAATTCTCCTCAGACATTTGAATATATGAATGCTTTTTTTTAGGCAAAAAGCATATTAATAAATTTACATAATAAAATATTATTACTTACACTAGAAAATAATTTATGGTATCAGTCTCTAAATAAAATGAAATAAAGTCCAGGAAGAAAATCAAAAGAAAAGCGCGAATATAAAATAAATGATTCCACGAAGGTCCGGGTTCAGCCAGAATACGAGGGGTCAGGGTCCGGGTTCACATCCCTGGTTTCAAGCATATGAGACCTAGATTGGAAAACGAAATAATAAATTTTTTGCAATACCTAACTATACATATATACTCCAGATATCAAACCCTGTTAACTATCGTTGAGCTTGGGAAGGGGTGCCAAAGCTCGTTAAATTTAATTACGTGGAGGGGGGGGGCAAAAGTTATTACATTATTATAAATCAATGGAGCCATCGATTTCGTCTACAATTGATCCATCTGCTGATAAATACGAAGATTTCCAAAATGTTGCTTATAGGGAAAAAAAAATAAATAAAATTAAAGAGAACTCGAAGGTGACTAGAACCCCAATCACGATATCTTCCCAAAATATTATCAATCCATACTTCCACGTAAACCCCTGCATTCACACTTTAGCACGAATTCGTGGTGGGTGACCAAGTATATAAGGAATACACAAAAAAATTCAGCATACTTTGTATTACTTTGCCCGCGAATTTAAGGGGGCGAAGAATTATAAAAATAAAGCGTAATTTGTATAATTCGCGTTACTATATTTGCGTTTTCAAGGATGAAAAATGCACCTAACCTAATAATTAAATTAAGTTTAATATATATATATATATCCTTAACCATAACATATATATATATATGTATTAAACTTAATTTAATTATTAGGTTAGATGATTGACGTATATAATATAATTATATTGCTGGAACATCTGGAAGCAATTTTCTCCAAATGTAGATATAATCGTGAGTAAATTCCAAAATTATCAACTTCACTCCAAAGGAGTCAAAAAAAAAATTTTCATCCTTTTTTTAAGTGTGCGAAAAATTTGTAAAAGAATAAAAATGATTGGAATACTTGTTTTGTACTTTAATTTTATAAAATAATTCCAATTTAAATTATAATAATAATATATATATAACACAACAAAGGAGTTGGTTTTCAGATGATCACTGTCATGCATCTCCCTAATCCATAGTGATTGTCAGTGTCTCGATTTCCCTACATTCCTATATCATATAATAATTGTCATAAGATGTATATAATCTTCTAATCTACTTTTAAACATTATTTGCTCGACATTGGATATTATAATATCTACTAGTTGATAACCCGCGCCAAAGAATGACGGGAATACTTGAACTTTTATTATGAAATTTTTTAAAAATAATTTCAGTTGATTATTTATTCATTTTTTATTAAATTAAGCCTAAAATATATGAATTTGTAATCAAAAATGTAAGGGGAGGATATTGATAAATGGGCACTGTATGTCATTTCCAGAGTTCACATATTGTTGTCGAGATAAAAAATTTTATACTGACATATTTTGGGATGGTAATATGAGATAAATGTTTATTATTCAATTGGCTAAATATAATTTAAATTTATTATATTAAATCTAAATTGTGATAAAGTATACTCAGGATTAGTGACTTATAGGTTAATTTTCTGGCACGAATACTTTAGTGGGTATTTGAGCAATTTAAATCCAATAAATACGAAGTCAAATGTACCGTAAAATTTGTGACGTTGCATTTTAGGTGATTTTTTTTTATTTCGTCATGTTTAGTCGTAGCAGAATCTACATTTTAAAACTATATTAGCACAGGCATACTACCCTTTGTATACATATTTAAAAATATACTTAACTGATTTGAGTCAAGTACAAATTTCAACATTTATGTGAGCATTATATTTTAGTAAGTAGATATGAATTGTTAGGAATAACATATCTATTATCTACCGGTTTATTTGACATTAAAATTGTAGCTAAATTTATTTCTTTCATATAAAGGATACCCGTCAATTGGATTTTTGAAAATCCTTAGGGAAACTTTTTTATAATGCACGGAGATTGAGGATTTAAAATGCCACAGGATCCATGCGTCATACAGCATGTAACAATATAAAATAATCTTGATTCTGTAACATTATTAGGTATTTCAGCACATGCATATTTATCTTTTTCCTCGGAGGGGGGGACCGCTATTTTATTGTCCTTACTCAATATAAGTAACAATTGGGCATGAGGTAGGCCTCTCTTTTGAAATTCTATTGTATACACATAAGCTATACATTTTCCAAATTTCTTTTACAGTTAAGGATATCTGATAGAAATGTGGTTAATTTAATTTTTAAAACTCTGCAAATTATATCTGGCCTATAAGCGGGTGTTTGACCGGCAAAAAGATTATCGCTTATTTCAGACCAAGTAGGATTGCAGGTAAAAGTTATGAATAAATCAGGTTTACCATATTTTAAAACGATAGTCATGGCATCATGATATCGTTCTTGCATATTCCTGGGAGATCCCTGAAAATGAAGAAGGTAGAATAAATGGGCGACCTATTGGAGATTCTTTTGAAGTGGAAAACGTAGATCCTAAGTAATCCATTAATACTGAATATTCTTTTACACGAAGCTTATTTTGATTAAATGTTATACAATTGGTAATATTAGCCTCATGTTATAATTGTAAATATGAATCAACTATATATTGTTGCGTTAGTCGCTCCACATTTAAGAAGAGGGTTAAAAATATTTTGGCGTATATGGCTAAACGGGCAATCTTAAATTGTAGTTTAGAAATTTAAGATCTAGACGAATGTTCAAAACCTTCAACGATCTACCTTCTTCATTTCAGGGGTCTCTCAGGAATGTGCAGGAACGATATCACGATGATATGACTATCGTTTTAAAATGTGGCAATCCTGATTTATTCATAACTTTTACCTGCAATCCTAATTGGTCTGAAATAAGCGATAATCTTTTTTCCGGTCAAACACTTGCCGATAGGCCAGATATAATTTGTCGAGTTTTTTAAATTAAACTAAATGCATTTCTATTGCATATCTTTAATAATAAAATATTTGGGAAATGTTTAGCCTGTCTGTACACAATAGAATTTTGAAAAAAGAGACCTACCCCATGCCCATTTGTTACTTATATTGAGTAAGGACAATAAAATGGCGACATCCGAGGAAATAGATTAATACGCATGTGCTGAAATACCTAATAAAGTTACAGAATCAAAATTAGTTAATATTGTTACACTCTGTATGACGCATGGACCCTGTGGCGTTATAAATCCTCAATATCCGTGCATGGATAAAAAAGGCATGTGTGCAAAAAATTTCCCTAAGGATATTTAAAAAAGGCATGTGTGCAAAAAATTTCCCTAAGGATATTTAAAAAATTCACCAAATCTAACATTGACCGGTACCCTTTATATAGAAGAAATTTAGCTACAATTTTAATATCAAATAAACCGGTAGATAACAGATATGTTATTCCTTACAATTCATATCCACTTACTAAAATATAATGCTCATATAAATGTTGAAATTTGTACTTCACTTAAATCAGTTAAGTATATTTTTAAATATGTATACAAACTTTTTTTTGGGACAAATAAATCACGAGTTCTTCACGTGATATATAAAATCAGGTGACTATTTATAAATACGATAAATATTACAATAATGATACAACATGCTATTTATTTTTTTTTTTTTCCGTTTTAAAAATTAAAATCCATAAAATAATTGTGAAAATAATAGAGTTTAACCAATGACATTCCAGTTAAAAATTTCCACGTTTTATATTAAATCTTTTAATTACATAAAAACAAAGATAAAATCTTATTACCTTTTATAATGCAATCAATGACTTATAATAATACTTAGACTGACGTTGCGTTCTTGATAATGCATTTAAAAGCGTCATTTGATAGCAAATCAGCTGGACCCGCCATTTTGGTAACCTGTATAGTAATTATTTCTCATGTTAAAATAAATTGATAACTTGCTTCCTTATTATCGGGAGGATCAAGCATTAATAAAATTTGCGTTCAGACATAGGAATAAATTTGGCCTCTCGTTTAAATTTTTTAATGATGATATTGGGAAGTAAAATGGCTTCCCCAGCTGTTTTTTCATTGAATGCGCATTTTTAATAAATGCATCGTCAGTCTAGGTATTATTATTATTATTATATGTAATTGAATGCAGTAAATATAAAATGTGAAAATTAAAGAATAATATCAAATACGGATATATAATTATTTGATCAATTAACAAATATTAATATCGTCAAAATAGTTATATTCATAATAAGTTACGAAAAACAAATGATTAGTTATAGTAAGCCTTGAGTTAAGAGTTATTACATTTAGTCTAGAGAAAGAAAAAAAAACTATCCTACAGATGTAGATTTAAAAATAATCTTGATTGACATTTCGCCATCTATATACTTCTTAAACATGGTATTATATTTTATTTTTTTTAAAAAATAAAACTATCAGCTGTTCTCTCAAAGTGGTATATATATATTTTTTTATTATAAAAATAGGCTTTTGTCATATGTCATTCTATAGCTGGAGGCACCGGCTCTGGGATGGGATCCTATTTCATGGAGACCTTGAATGACAGGTATCGAATATATTTATATATTTTTTTAAAAAATTATTATTGTTATGAGAAGCAAAGTTCTACATTTTCGTCCCTCGATTATTGCGTCCGGTTAAATGAAGGGTAACCAGGACCGGTTCGGACCGGACCAATTTGGTCCAACTAAACCGATTTGAATACGACCGTCTTTTTTATTGTGGAGCGGTTTCCTTGACTAAGCCAGATTAGCCGAGAACTCTAAGCGAAACCAATTTGGTCTTAATCAAACTCAAAACTGTTTCACCACAATTTTATATTAGACAACCTAAAAATTTACCCTGAATTCGAGGCAGTTTGAAAGGATAGGGGAGGTGCTTAATAGGGACTTGTTCTATTTCTCACTCATTTTATCAGGCCAGCAATTAATTTTAAAATTAATGATGCGCCATCCAGCAAGGTTGAGCAAGAATATAAGATTAGTATATTTTTTTTATAAAAAAATTGGTATATACCCGTAACCTTTTTATATTTCACTTTCGAATAGAGGTCTACGTTGGGCGGATTTCCGCCCGATACCTCCCGCCTACGCCCTCTTATACTTTGAATGGGCGTGGTCGGTTTTTTTTTTAAAAATATTTTCAACAAGGAGCGGAAGTGTAATGGGCAGGCGTGGGCGGAATAAATTTTTGATATTTTTTTGGCGCGAAATGAGCTGAACAGACTTCAATTTAATAAAAAATAAGTAGGATAAATGGGCTAACGGGTAAATTTAATGTGCGGGTTAAATAATTTACAAAACAACGAGTTGGCGGGCTTTTTGGCTAAATAAATCCGCCAATTGCAGACCTCTAATCTCGAATACTTTTATCAAAATTAAATATACAAAAAAAAATTGATCAAAGGATCAAGTGTTTGTTACTATATTCTTAAGCTGCCATTTTGTATTCGTGGATTCTCTCAAAAAAACCGTTATTTAAAGTCTATTTTTTAGGGAATGTTTTTGTATAAAAAAAATATATAGAGAGGCGGAGGTGTAACACCGGTTAACCCCTCACCCCCTTAATTCAGTTTAGACCTTAAAAAAATATGAATAAAATGATGATTTTTTTTTCCCCAGATTTCCCAAGAAAATTTTACAAACTTACTCCGTTTTCCCCAATCAAGAGGAGATTAGCGACGTTGTCGTTCAACCTTATAATTCTATCTTAACCTTAAAAAGGTTGACGGAAAACGCGGATGCCGTGGTATTATTATTGAATATAATAAATCTTCTAAAATTAAAAGTCTTGTTCATTAAAGGTGTGTATAATATATACAAGTCAGCTGTAATCATTTTCATTGGTTCTAGACAGACGCCATTGAAAGGTATTTTGTTTTGAGTGTCTTTTCGCATTTCGTCAAAAACGTCTTTTTATGAAGGAAATAATGGGTCCTTTGGGCATCTATTAGCGGAACCTCGAGGCCTAGGCGATATTTTTCTGGAATAAAATATTGAGTTATTAGTTTTTTTAAATTGCCGCTCAACCCCAGACTTTTATCAACACTAGACACGACCCTCAAAGCTCAACAAAATGATTACCCGCTATTTTACAACTTTAACTCATAATTAGTGTTGTTAAAAAGCTGAGTTTTATCGGCTTCGACCTCGAGGTCGTAGCCAAAAAATTTGCTCAGGCTCAAGCCCGCTCATTGAGTTGGCTTGCTCGAGTCGTCTCAGGAGTTGGCTCAAGCCGAAATTTATTTATTTGTGATTAGTGTTGTTAAACGGCTGATCCAAACCCGCTTCTTGGCTTGTTAGTGTTGTTAAACGGCTGAGCCAAGACGGATTTTTGGCTGCCATGCCGGCTTATCCCTAAACTCAATCAGAATTTTGAATCGAAAATTTGACTCAGGCTCAAGAGTTGACTCAACGCCTGACTTTTAAGCCAATAATTAATTTATTTGTGATTAGTGTTGTTAAACGGTTGAGACCCAAGCTGGATTCTTGGCTTATTAGTGTTGTTAAACGGTTTAGCCGTAATTTGAAGCCTTTCATTGATTTTAAATTAGTGATGTAATAATATAACTGTAAGGTATTGAATGTTTTTCCTAGGACGCTTGCAATTTATTTTACTATCTCTCAGCCAATATTTTCTTTAGAAATAAAATATTATGTAAAAAAAAATAATAGCATAATTTAGGATTTGATATAGAAAACTGTTTTAATAAACAAATTTTCTTTTATATATAAAATATCAAACTGATAAATTTTATTTTGATATTTTACACTCATCTTACATGATTAAAATAAAAAATTGTATTTATAAATCTTGGTATATTAAGCTTTTTAGACCATGTATCTATCTACTAGATAAATATGAAAAGTATCATAACAACTCTGGTCTATCAGGATATATAGGTTGTAATTTACTTTATTATTAGCATTATTTTTTTTAAAGTTATTAAATGAATATTATGAAGATAAAATTGCATGAAGGTTAATTTATATAATGAAATATTTTATTTTTAATAGTATCATAAGATTTTAATAAAAACCTAATTAATGATTAAACATATATTCAATTAATTCCCATTAATTGGCCCTACTTTGTTTGAGAATGTTGATAAATTCCTCAACATCTATAAAAATTTTTAACAATTGTTTGATTAATAACCTTTCATTTCATTACAATAAAAAATACCCAATTATCCTCTTATATAAGGTAATTATAATATGTAACATTAATACAAATAGTGTATTTTTTTTCCTTAATGTATGCACAGGCACACTCTACCTACGTAATAATTACACAAATTTATACAAAATAGATTAACATTTTTTATAAAATAATCATTCCTTAAATAAAATTCTTTATAAAAAATTCTCTATAAAATCATTCTCTGTAAAATAAATCTCTATAAACGACATTCTTCTATAATTGTTTTCTCTGTAAAAGTGGTATCGGGCCCATCCGTTTGACTTTGTTTTGTCATTATACCATTTCATGTCAATTTTTAGAAAAATTTCATCTAATTTTCAATACAAAGGTAAATAATAAATATTCACATATATATTTTATATAATTTTCAAAACTTCCAATGATATAAAATTTTCAATACAAAAAGGTAAATATTTTGATTACAACTTATTTTGTTACACTTTTGAAAAATTTGATATAATTTTCAATACAAAGGTAAATAATAAATATTTACATATATATTTTATATAATTTTCAAAGCTTCCAAAAATTTGATATAAAATTTTCAATATAAAAAGGTAAATATTTTGATTACAACTTATTTTGTTACACTTTTCTTTAAATTAGGTAGCATAGTCATTTACTCCACTCTGTAAATGCCTTCCTCATATAGAAGGTCAAAATATTATAAAAACAAAATATATTTTAACTGTAATTCACCCACCTGCAATGGAAAAGGTTATACAGTAAATAACCTATTTACTTTGACCACAGCATGCAATGGTAAATTATTTAATATACAATATGTGATTTATTGTTTTCTAGATGTTTGCAAATATTTGACTGCAAGAAGAGAAAGTATTTTACAAAATAACATAAAATATGATACTTTAAATTTTTTTAAAATAATTAATCAAAATTTTGTTAATATATTATCTTTTAAATTTTTTTAAAAATAGTTCATCTAAATTATGATATAATATTATCCTTTAACTTTATTATTTATAACAATTTTTTTTAAATAAATTTTTCCTTAAGTATCTGATCTGGCAATCAGGCTGGTGATGGAGACAGAAATATGGTGATATCTGGGGTCTTTTTGGAAGAAAATCAAGAACCCTTTTCTTCCAATTTCAATCAAGTGCAAGAGGCTGGGGAGAGTGTTGGAGGAAGTATTTTTACAAAATAACATAAAATATTATACTTTAAATTTTTTTAAAATAATTAATCAAAATTTGGATATATTATCTTTTAAATTTTATTAAAAATAGTTCATCTAAATTGTGATATAATATTATCCTTTAACTTTATTATAAATAACAAATTTTTTTAAAATAAATTTTTCCTTAAGTATCTAGCAATCAGGCTGGTGATGGAGACAGAAATGTGGTGATATCTGGGGTCTTTTTGGAAGAAGTTCAAGATCTTTTAACTCAAATCATAGAACTACCTCTACATTTCCCATTCTTAGATGAAAGTTTTATAGATGAAGAAGATATAGTAGATACCTCCATTGCAGCTAATAGCTCTGATACTTTTCCAGTATTAGTTAATAGCATTCAATCTTCATTCTTAAATATCGAACAACCATATAATTTTATTCTTTCCCAAAAAAATCGTAATTTATTATATTCCAATAAATATTTATATATACATTATAAATTTGGGTTTTTATTTAAATGTAGACTAAAGCATTGTACCGCTAGAGGTACTTTGTTAAATAGGAAGTTTACATTAACCAATTTTCACATATATTTAAATTTTGCGTTTGGGTTAATCCAAGTATTTTTAAAATATGTAAAAAGATCTCTTATGGGATCTAAATAAAAGGCCTCTACCTCACTATTTAATTCAGACAATACCAATGATATGTCCGTTTCAGTTAAAAAGGGTATCGCCATGAGTCTGCAATAAAATCTCTTAAAATTAGGATTAAGCCGACTAAATGCTGTCAATCTATTACCCTGTATACGTGTTAAAATACATTGGCAATAATGAAAGTAGCATCCGTTGACAGAAATGGTTGGAAACATTTCTTCGAGAGCTCTAAGTGCTCCCATTTCAAAATCTATAAGTGTTTAAGGAGGAGAAAATATAAAACCTATAGATAGGCAATAATTTTTTAAAAGATCCTACATTTTTAAATATGTTTCTTTGTTTTGGCAACAATATATATGCACAAGGAATTATTGTATGATCAATCATTATATGAATAGTGTATAATTGCTTAAATAATAATGGACACGAAGAAAATGTACCGTCCATCAAAATTTGGTCAGCATTACAGAGGCATTCAAGTAATTCATGTGTAGAAAATATTAATAATTCATTATTTTCATTACAAATTAAAAATGTTTTATTATTGTTGTATAATCGCCGTCTAATTGGATATCAGAATTTATAAGAGGTAAAGGAGGTCTCAATGATTTAATAACACGATTCATAATACTTTTCACAGATAGAAATGTTGGTAGAGCATTAGGATGGAGTTGAACGAGTGGATCCATTTTTCTAATACGCATAACTTGATTATATGTTTTACGTTTGCTTTGATAGGTGTATGCTCGACATTGTTCTTTAAGTTTATTCATAGTTACTCAAATTGCATAATGCGCTTCCTCAGATTCATCAGAATGGTTGTGAAAATTGGTTAATGTAAACTTCCTATTTAACAAAGTACCTCTAGCGGTACAATGCTTTAGTCTACATTTAAATAAAAACCCATTATAATGTATACATAAATATTTATTGGAATATAATAAATTACGATTTTTTTGGGAAAGAATAAAATTATATGGTTGTTCGATATGTAAGAATGAAGATTGAATGCTATTAACTATTACTGGAAAAGTATCAGAGCTATTAGCTGCAATGGAGGTATCTACTACATCTTCTTCATCTATAAAACTTTCATCTAAGAATGGGAAATGTAGAGGTAGTTCTATGATTTGAGTTAAAGGATCTTGAACTTCTTCCAAAAAGACCCCAGATATCACCACATTTCTGTCTCCATCACCAGCCAGATTGCCAGATACTTAAGGAAAAATTTATTTAAAAAAAATTTGTTATTTATAATAAAGTTAAAGGATAATATTATATCACAATTTAGATGAACTATTTTAATAAAATTTAAAAGATAATATATTAACAAAATTTTGATTAATTATTTTAAAAAAATTTAAAGTATAATATTTTGTAAAATACCTCCAACACTCTCCCCAGCCTCTTGCACTTGATTGAGATTGGAAGAAACGGGTCCTTGATCTTCTTCCCAAAAAGACCTCAGATATCACCACATTTCTGTCTCCATCACCAGCCTGATTGCCAGATACTTAAGGAAAAATTTATTTTAAAAAAATTTGTTATTTATAATAAAGTTAAAGGATAATATTATATCACAATTTAGATGAACTATTTTTAATAAAATTTAAAAGATAATATATTAACAAAATTTTGATTAATTATTTTTAAAAAATTTAAAGTATAATATTTTATGTTATTTTCTAAAATACTTCCTCCAACACTCTCCCCAGCCTCTTGTACTTGATTGAAATTGGAAGAAACGGGTTCTTGATCTTCTTCCAAAAAGACCCCAGATATCACCACATTTCTGTCTCCATCACCAGCCTGATTGCCAGATACCTAAGGAAAAATTTATTTTAAAAAAATTTGTTATTTATAATAAAGTTAAAGGATAATATTATATCACAATTTAGATGAACTATTTTTAATAAAATTTAAAAGATAATATATTAACAAAATTTTGATTAATTATTTTAAAAAAATTTAAAGTTTCATATTTTATGTTATTTTGTAAAATACTTTCTCTTCTTGCAGTCAAATATTTGCAAACATCTAGAAAACAATAAATCACATATTGTATATTAAATAATTTACCATTGCATGCTGTGGTCAAAGTAAATAGGTTATTTACTGTATAACCTTTTTCATTGCAGGTGGGTGAATTACAGTTAAAATATATTTTGTTTTTATAATATTTTGACCTTCTATATGAGGAAGGTATCATTTACAGAGTGGAGTAAATGAATATGCTACCTAATTTAAAGAAAAGTGTAACAAAATAAGTTGTAATCATAATATTTACATTTTTGTATTGAAAATTTTATATCAAATTTTTCAAAAGTATAACAAAATAAGTTTTAATCAAAATATTTACCTTCTTGTATTGAAAATTTTATATCATTGGAAGCTTTGAAAATTATATAAAATATATATGTGAATATTTATTATTTACCTTTGTATTGAAAATTGTTGTAATCAAAATATTTACCTTTTTATATTGAAAATTTTATATCATTGGAAGCTTAGAAAATTATATTAAATATATATGTGAATATTTATTATTTACCTTTGTATTGAAAATTAGATGAAATTTTTCGAAAAATTGACGCGAAATGGTATAATGACAAAACAAAGTCAAACAGATGGGCCCCGATACCACTTTTACAGAGAAAACAATTATAGATTATGTCGTTTATAGAGATTTATTTTACAGAGAATGATTTTATATAGAATTTTTTATAAAGAATTTTATTTAAGGAATGATTATTTTATAAAAAATGTTAATCTATTTTGTATAAATTTGTGTAATTATTACGTAGGTAGAGTGTGCCTGTGCATACATTAAGGAAAAAAATACACTATTTGTATTAATGTTACATATTATAATTACCTTATATAAGAGGATAATTGGGTATTTTTTATTGTAATGAAATGAAAGGTTATTAATCAAACAATTGTTAAAAATTTTTATAGATGTTGAGGAATTTATCAACATTCTCAAACAAAGTAGGGCCAATTAATGGGAATTAATTGAATATATGTTTAATCATTAATTAGGTTTTTATTAAAATCTTATGATACTATTAAAAATAAAATATTTCATTATATAAATTAACCTTCATGCAATTTTATCTTCATAATATTCATTTAATAACTTTAAAAAAAATTAATGCTAATAATAAAGTAAATTACAACCTATATATCCTGATACACCAGAGTTGTTATGATACTTTTCATATTTATCTAGATAGATACATTGTCTAAAAAGCTTAATATACCAAGATTTATAAATACAATTTTTTATTTTAGTAAGATGAGTGTAAAAAATATCAAAATAAAATTTATCAGTTTGATATTTTATATATAAAAGAAAATTTGTTTATTAAAACAGTTTTCTATATCAAATCCTAAATTATGCTATTATTTTTTTTTTACATAATATTTTATTTCTAAAGATAATATTGGCTGAGAGATAGTAAAATAAATTGCAAGGGTCCTAGGAAAAACATTTAATACCTTACAGTTATATTATTACATCACTGATTTAAAATCAATGAAAGGCTTCAAATTACGGCTAAACCGTTTAACAACACTAATCACAAATATTAATTATTGGCTTAAAAGTGTTAAAAAATTTAAACAATGGGCGACGGTTTAAGGAAATTTAAAATTTTTGTTCAAAAACATACTAAAAAAAATAATTGTTTTCATGATCTATAACAATATTTCTTTTTTTTATTGTGTAATCGTCATATTTTTTTAAATACCATTATTTGCATAAGAATTATTTATATTTTATGTATAATTGTTAAATAATTTAAATTTTCATTATAATAAATTTTTATATATTTAAAAATGTTTGAAAAATATATAATAATACTATTTAAAAAAAAGAACGGAGATGGTGTGACGCAGGGAAACAAAAATGAAAAAGGAACGTAAGCGTTGTCTATGATAGCTCTTTGGCTAGAAGGCTACCATTGAAACTGATATAATTAGCTTTGTGAATCGCTATGGATAATCGTTGACGAAGAAAAAACCCTCTCGAGGTTCTTCTGAGAGTTTGCTGATTTGTTATCCTTAGTTTTTGAAAAATGCTAAGGCGAGTTTGCCGAAGGTGCCAAGAGTGGTTGATATGATTGGGATGAAGCAATGATCGTTTATTATTTCTGTGTATTTAGAAATTTTAAGTTGTTCCTTCTGGTCAAGGATGTTGATGGCCAATCGTTTTTTTAAGTGAAGAACATTTACCTAACTATATTATGCAATATACACAACAATAAAACTTTTTTTTTCTTAGAATAAATAAACATTTTTTTGTATTTTTTTTTTCATAAATATTCAATTTGATCAAAATAAATTGTCCATAATTTACATTGATTAATGATTATTTTTTTTTTATACTTACATTAATGTCCTAAATCATTAACTTTTTGTAGAGGTTGTAATGCCGAAAATATTTTTATTAGATGCTTAAAAAAAATGAATGGAATGACCATAATTAAATTTTATAAGCGTTGGGTTAAAAATTTTTTATAAATAATGGGCGGGCGGATAAATAATTTTAGACTAATGGTCGGGCCAGCTGGTTGACGGGTAAGGAATTTTAGACAAATGGGCTGGATTGGCGGGTATATATTTTTTTTGAGTACTATTTGCGGGCTGGGCTGGCAGGTTAAATTTTTCTTAAAACATTGGACCAAAAATTCGCCCAATGCAGACCCCTAATGCACATCATCTGAATCCGCCATTTTCCCATGTAGTAATTATTCTCGTGTTAAAAACTACTGACTACTATTAAATTGATAACTTGCTTCCTCAATTATCTCGATGATCGGGCAATTCTTTAATAAAGTTTGCATCAGATTGATACGGGTAAATCAAAATGGCATCCCCAGCTGTTTTCGTTAATGTACACCTTTAATGAATGCATCGTCAGTCTATTATTATTATATGTCTTTGACTTAATCGTATATAATTTATTTACACGAATGCGCACAAAATAAATCTTGAAAGATAGTGTTAGACAACACCGCCCTAAACCGAATCGCCACCGAACGTTTGCGCCTAGAAAAGGTTTCCTTCGCCCAGATAAATTCCTTCGTCTCTACCATAATGGCCGCCAGCACGGCTACCTTAAGATACCCCGGTTACACCCACAACGATTTGGCGGGGATTTTAGCCGGGCTCATACCTACCCCCACACTCCATTACCTCATGACGGGGTACACCCCACTGAATATAGCTATCGAACAGTCATCCCAAACTCAAACCGTAAATCAAAATATTAACGCGATGATGGTCAATTCACGATGCGGAAGCGAAATTACGCAAAAGAATGTGAGTATTAATTTTTTTTTAAATATGATATTTTTTATATAGCTTATTATTATCCTTTAAATATTGTATATTATAAAAAAAAATATAAAATTATCTTTCTAGCCATATTTGATTGATTTTTAAATATATTTGAATGACATTGAACATTTGAACATTTTATATAACATTGAACAATAATACATGTAAAGATTTCATTTTGAAATATAGATATTCAAAAGATAAGCATGTTTTTTTTAAAGATATGGGAATTTTGGGTTAGCCAGTTATAGTTGTTGTTAAACGAAAACGGCTAACTTAAGATTTTATCTAGAAAAATATTACGCAAAGCCTGAAGATTTTTCTCGTAGATGGGCACAAAGGGTTTGAACATCTGTTAACGAAATCTTTAAGCTTAGGCAATATTTTTCTAGCTATTTAAAAAATAGACCGAAACCAAAACCCGGGTAGATCTAGAAAACCGTTATTAGGAAAACCCGAAGTCCCTGACATCTAGTTAGCCGTTTTTAAAAACCTTCTCGAATCGAGCCGGTTAACAACACTAGCCAGTTATGGTTATTCAACATCCCGCACTGTTTAATGGGTAAAAAATAAAAGTACAAAATTGTATATTATTTCGATACTATTCTTTTTTTTTAATATAGTGATAGTTTAAGAATTTTGATTAAGAACGAATAATTCTAACGAACTTTGTTCTTATTTTTCGTGTATCGTTGGTCAAACCAGAGTTTTACCCTGATTTAAATTACGAACTTATATTTTTTTGGTGGGGGGGAATTAAAAGTAGTTTTATAAAATATAATTAGAAATTACGATTGAAAGAAAGAAAGAATTCTCTTTCTTTCTTTCTTTCTTTCTTTTAAATATTCACGACAAATTAAATTTTTTTGGCTATAATACGTAATTTATAAATTTTTTATATGAAATTATGTTAATAAAAATCAAATTAAAATAAATTTCGATTTTGAGGTAACCATATTATACATATATATTCTTCTCCGTTTTTTGGCGATTTCCGGATTTACCCAGGGGTTTCCCTCTGATTTTTCCTTTTCCATTTTTGCAGGTCATGAGCATCAATATTTGTAAGCTATTCATGTCTCTCATATCCGCCGCGATTGCATTTGTCCACGTCATCTTGGACCTTCCTCCAGGTCTTGATCCTCCTACTTGCCATCGAGACACCTCTTTACCCAGTCATCTTTTGTCATACGGCCCAAACTATCTTAGTCTATTGCGTCGCAATGCCCACTCCGATCATTTCTATACCCAATCCTGCACGCAATTCCTTGCTAGTTTTTCCCTCTCTCTCTCAGAGATATCCCACATCTAATTATCCTCATCGCTGTTCTTTCTAATTTGGCTTCCTAGGTCGCTCTCATGTTTAATAAATAGGTAAGTATTTGAGTTTGATAATGATAACTTTTATTCGATTTACGCATTTAAAAAAATTTTTTGGGGTATCATTTGACAATTGAATGACACCTATTAATTACTAACTTGGAATTTTCGGAACGAAATTGATTGACGTTATAATGTTTAATGATATATACAAAAAAACGGATTTTCAAAATGAAGATAAAACTATAGAAAAAAGGACAATCAACAATATATATATTATTATTTTTTTAGACTTTTTCTAATCAAACTTCCTTGACCTCTTCCTCTATTTCGAATAATCCTCCGCCCGTAACGAACGTCAGGAAAACGACCGTACTGGACGTGATGAGACGTCTATTGCAACCGAAGAATATGATGGTGTCCACATCCCACGATAGGAATCTCAAACATTGCTATGTGTCAATACTCAATATCATACAGGGGGACATAGATTCGACTGAAGTTTTAATTTTCAGTTCAACTGTAGCTATACCTTTATCCCATAATGTTGAAAATATGGGAGATTTTTTTTAGTGGAATCGCTCTTTAACTCTTACCATTATTTCTAATCGTGTAGATAGATGTTAGAACCGTTATAATATTATGCCTAATTTTAATACTTTAAATTTACCCCTCCCCCTGTCAAAATGACTTAAATTGACAATCCTCGAAGGTCCACAAGAGTTTGCAAAGGATAAGGGAACGGCAAATCGTTCAATTCGCGCCTTGGGTCCCGGCATCTATCCAAGTGGCTCTTTCCAGAAAATCGCCTTACATTACGTCAGCTAACAAAGTTAGCGGGTTGATGTTGGCCAACCATACTAACGTATCTTCCGTAAGCTATCACTATTTCATTCAAGCTTTGTATTTCAAAAAATAAGGATTTTGATTGACATAGTATTTGTGGTTTTGATTTTCTTTTATCGTTATTTTTTTTTAATGAACATTAAACATAAATCATAGTTAAATTGGCATTGGCAAATTTTCTTTAGAACCCGCCTCGATCCCTTTACCAAATCTTAGTTAAACTGGCAAATTTTCTTTAGGTCTAGGCTCTGTCCCTTGACCGTATTCTTTTTTAAAAGATCTCACTTAACCCCCAAATCATGCACTCGCATTCTAATCTGCTATATATGAAACTCCGTTAGCCAGAAAATTTACCTTAAGCCAAATCTTCTTATAAAAAAATTTGATAAAAATCAATTTAAAACTTATTCTTTTCTCGATTGCGAGAAAAATTTAGGGACAAAAAATAAAATTCTGAACACTTATAATTATAAGTCATGACGACGTATGGTTGGGTGATCATTATATTTTTAGCCGACTAAAATAACTTCTAAACCGAATTTTTAGCTGATAAAAATATCGTCTGAACCGAGTTTTTAGTCGACTAAAATATCGTCTCCGGGGTTTTAGCTGATAACTACCACTTTGGTCCTCGAGGTTAGTTTAAAAAAAAAAATATATATATAGGCACTCAGATTTTAAAGAAACTAATATACATTATAAACGCCTTCATTTTAACAGATTTTCTCCGGCTCGCGCCTATAGGTTGAGTCCGACATTTAGCTCCACGAGGGATTATTGTCAAAATAATTTAAAACATTCTCAGTTCAATTATACCCCTTGTGAAATGCACTGATTTCTGGGCCTGAAATATAATTTTCTTTCCATTTTAAAAATATCGTCATTTTATAAACTGGGATTTATTTTATAGATTTGAATCTTATATACTTAAAAAATTTTATTTATATATTTATGAATCATTACCAATTTTTTTATTTAAAAAAAAATACAGTTATTCGACCGAACCCTCAAACAATACGACAAACTACGTAAACGGGAAGCGTTTTTGGACATGTTCCGGAAAGAAGAGATGTTCAAAAACGACCTATCCGAACTTGACGATTCGAGAGCCGTGGTATTTGATTTGATCGAGGAGTACAGAGCTGCTACTACGGAAGATTATCAAGATTCTGGCATGGGGACCGAAGGAAATTTCGAACATGGCGGTGGGGAAGATGCGGAATTGGCCGAATTACTGAGGCTCCTGGGTAAATCCAGCGAGAATTCCGATCACCAATTTAGCCCTAACAATCTTGACGAAGAGTTGGAAATCACTTATGATAAAGGTGCCGACGAGGAAAAATCACCGAACGACGCGGAAGGATACAATGTCAGTGAATAACTAATAAAAGGAAAAAAATTTTGACGCAAACAAAAATGCTCATTTTAAATTATCGATTTTATAGTTATATAGTATGGTATAAATTATTAAATCGTATTTTATAAAATGACATATAATATTACCATAAACTAACGGTGCATTCATAATAATGCATTTGAAAGCGTCAGTTGAATGCAAATCAGCTGGACCCGCCATTTTGGTAACCCATATAGTAATCATTCTCATGTTAAAAACTAATATTAAATTGATAACTCGCTTCCTTATCATCTCGATGATCAGGAAATTCTTTAATAAAGGTTTGCGTCATCGTTTAAAATTGTTAATAATGATATTACGGGTAATCAAAATGGCGTCTCCAGCTGTTTTCATCGATGTACACTTTTAAGGTATGCATCGTCAGTTTAGGTATTATTGTATGTCATTGATTTTATATTTTTATAATATTTTTAAAAAAATTGTAAATATTTATTCGTTTGAATTATTGGACCCTTCATGGCCATGTTTGTATATTAATAAAATATTATAGCGCACACAAATTGAGCGTTTACGTTTTGCCGTAATTTTTAAATTTAAAAACGTAACGCAACGCGTCCCTTTGTTTAAATTGAGTTTGTCTTTTTTTAGATAATATCCGTCGATTCAAAATTTTAAATAAAGTTCTAGAGAAAAAAAAAAGATTTGTCTTTTGGAAATTATAATATCGTCTGCCTTCTTATTTCTTTTAATTTCTAAATATTCCTTTTTTTAAGGGATTATAAGTAAGTCATTTAATATTACATTTTTATATAATATTACAAAGCGAAGAGTTTAAAAAATAATGTAATGAAAAAGCAAACATATTTCAGTTTTTTTAAAAAAAATGTTTGCTTATTATAAAGTATTTTGAACGAGATAAATTTTATTCGTTAATTTCTAAGATATTATAAATTAAAAGAATTCAAAAAAAAAACTAATAATTGTTCTTGTTTGAAAAATTTGACATTGGGAAGTATATACATTACTTTCATTTTTTGTAAAATAATCACATCCCTAGTGTTGTTAAACGGCAACTCAATATTTTATCCAGAAGAATAATATTACGCAAGCGCAAGCCTTTGTAGAAGGAATATAGGTTTCGACATCTATTAACAAAATCTCGAGACTCACGTGATATTTTTCTGGCTAAAATATTGAGTTGGCCGTTTTTAAAAACCGGCTCAAAACGAGCGCTACAACACTACGTTCCTAGCATCCATTAATATTATTTTGAATATCGCTTTAAAATAAATTGTAGGATATAAGCTAGATAATTTTTGACTATCGGGGAACCCATATTTGCAAAATGTTTTGTTAAAAAAATTAAAATTTATAATTATTGAATCTCTCTTTTATTTTTTATAAATCAATTTTATTTCTATATATATATATCAGCGGCAATATGTATTTTTTTTCAATATGCGAGTTCACTCAATACCTATTTTTAAAAAGTAGCGCGTTATTAGCTAAAGTTATGGTAACGCGCAACTTGTAGTACGCTACCTTAACAACTTCTGACGATATATTACTATAAGAAACAATTTGAAAGCAAGCATTAATAAGAGTTGATAACTTTTTTTTAAAATTAACGACTATAATTCAAATTTTTATAGAATAAAAAGTGGAATCACAAAATTATTTTTTTAAAAAATCTAATATCGTCAAGGGCATCTATTCCAGATATCTAAAATCTCGCAATATCTAAATCATGCTATTCAGAAAACATACTTTATCAAATTTATTAAATACACAATATCCTAAGTCAAATACGATTTCTATAATTTCGTTCCGTAAGTGATCTCTGATATTAATAAATGCTTTGAGAAACATCAGATAAATTTGATATATCCACTTACACTATCTTTATTTGTGTAGAAATGACTTTATAAATTTGTATAACTGTGCAAGATCATTTAGAAAACCTAATTATCAAGAAGATTAAGCCTCTTAGCTCATATAAAAAATATGGTGGATTGCCGCTAAATATTTTTATTATTTTTTGTAAACGTTAATTATCTAAACTATACTCTACAACGAGTTGGATTAGGAAACTTTGACGAAAACAATCCCTATTTTTATCTTTAAAGTGGTTGTTTTTTTCCTTAAACGATATTTAATAATAACTTTTAGCTATTAAAGTTTAAATTGGCAATGTTTTATTTTGTTTGATCAATTAAGTTGCCTGATTTGCAGACCCAACCTATTCGATAATTGGATATTTATTTCTCACGAGTGTACAGTCTATTTTTTTTTCATTACTTGTGTACTTTATTATGATGTTAATTTTGTATTCACTATTACTTTAATAAATAGCGTCAATGTATTATTTTTTCAATTTAAAATCATTTTTTGCGGTTTTTTAAATTTAAAAAAATCTGATTTTACTGGTAATGTATGCCGCCATGTTTGGAATATCTATCTAATGAATAGTAGACAATTTTGCTGTTAACCGTTGAGTAATTTTTAATTTATATAAAAAATTATATGAAAAGTCTAGTATAAATTATATTAAGTTTAAAAGTTCTTAGAAAAATTGAATGTCTGAAATGCATAGGGTAGGTATTCCAAACATGACTGCATACATTTCCGGTAAAATCATATTTTTAAATTTATAAAAACGCGCTCAAAAAATGATTTAAAAATTCCAAAAATAACACTGATGCTAACATATATAATTCTCCAGTATGCATATTAGAAATCTGCAAAAGTAGGCCCCATAATATTTTTTAAGAAAATTCGTATTTGTTGATCAAATAATGAGGGAAATTTAACATATGTTCATACCTACACACTACTGATCCTCGGACAATAGGTTTTTTTTACAGTAAAGAGTAAGGTTTTATTATACCTACCAGAGTTAAAAAATAATTATTATTATTTCTTGATTGGTAAGAATTTAGTTGGAGATTGAAATTCAATTTATTTTCTTAAGTGTTTTAATTTAATCATCCATTTATCTGCACATGCGAATAATTTTTTAAATAATTATAGGAAAATATTACTGCGCGGAGGATCATCATGTTTCATAAAGCAATTTACTAGACAACGACCAAGTTTAATTAGAATGTAATAAGACTCCATTTTAATATAACATTACCATACCCTAAATTACGCTCGCTTCCAATCTACTACGCTTTAGATAATATCGCCAAACACGTCTAATTAGTTTCAGTGCTGTGTTCAAACTCAGATCGAAGCGTAAAATGATTACATAATTAACATATATAGCAACTGAGTTACCAGACCTTACTCGAAATGAAAGATTTTCTTTGTATAAAAGATACTTAACAACCTTATCTTATATTTTAATAGGAAATATAACGTTCTAAGCTCTACTTAATTATAAGCTTTATAGTAAGTTAACATACACTCATATTAAAAACTAACAAGCTGAAAAACGGATCACCAGAACAGAATGCATAATTCTCTGAGAAAATACTTCATAGACATTAATTTTCTGTCATATTTTTTAAATACATTTTAAAAGTGCCTTAGCATGATTTAAAAATTTTCCCATTATATCTAGGCCGCCCTTCGGACCAACAACACATTTTTGATACTTAGTTTAAAAAAAATAAAGGAAGAAGTGAGTCTTTATGTATTTTTTTATATGTGGGTATGAAACAAAAATTAGTATGACTGCCAAACTTGATCTTATAAGACCTTTTTTTAAGTTCTCAAATATACATATTTCTTTATAATATAATTTTTTATTTACTTTTCTTTAATACAAATAGGTCTAATCGATACTGAACTGATTCTTATCAGGATGAACATTGTGATATTACTGATAATATAATTTACACACTCCTACAACTAAATTTCCCAGAAAAAAAGCACTAATTGCTTTACTCTAGGGATCATAGTACTTAATATGAATGTTGGAAAATAGTACTGTAGTAAGCAAATAATAATATATTTAAGGATTTGGTAGAATCTATTTCGGCTCAAATGGGATTCTAGCACTATTACTTAAAAACGGGAATAGAAAATTAATTTATAAATTGAGCCTTATATAATTGACCTCTTTATCAAATGTTTCCCGCTTTAGAAACTCGCGATATATAATAATATATATCTCATATATTTTCAATCTCCCAAAGACAGACATTGTAAAAAGGTGTACAACTTATAATTGAAAGCTAAAGTTTTGGGCGATTTTCTAATAGACTCAGTTCATCCTATTAAATTAAATGAAAAATCGATGATAAATTTGAAACGATATAGATTATAGGGAGAATCTTGAAAATCTTTTAATTGTTCGCGCCACAAACATATTTTTTTTAGGGGATATATATTTATTCGTTACGTTAAATAAGTATAATTTAGTAGCCCTAATTCTCAAATCTGTCGGGGTGGGATAGACATTTTCTCGGAAAATTTATTTCGGACATGATCGGACCACAATATCAAAAAATAATTCTTCAAAAATGAGCAAAAATTTGTTTATTCAGATCGATATCTAAAACAATTTTGGGTATAACTCAGATCTTCGAAAAAAAATATAGTTTCGACTCAGGACACTAGTAATTACGATTTAGATGTGACATAACAATAAAATAAAGATACTAGTTATACGACTTTTCGTTTAAAATGTCTCTAATCACCTATCACAAAATTGTAATAAGTTCGTAGGCCCAAAAGGTTCGAACGGGCTTAAAAGGAGCCGATATAATTATTCTTTATGAACTAAATCATGAACCGGTACCTTTGGAACCTAAACCGATATTCGTTATCGTTTTGATCCACGGATAAACACCATAATAACTAAGAATTATATTAATTTAAATTATATAGCATTAAGCCAGCCTACCGTTATTAAAATAAAAATGACTTCAAGAGTAGAGTGAAGGACAGATAAATATGCCAAACGAAAGAAACGTAAATAATAATATTAAGTTAAATATTACTCGAGGACTAATCACCAAATATTTATCTTTCTTTCTCACGAGTCATTAATTGTATGTTAGACTTGACACTTACCTCAAATAAAAATTCCGAACCTCAGCACCTGGATCGGGTTCGGCATAACTTGCCGAAGAAAATTTTTTTCCTCTGGTTCATACATATGTGAACTAAATTTTTAGCAAGGCGTAACTTCTAGTAATAGCAATCAAGTTGCATCCATATTTTCTAATCGATCCTCTCAAAAAAAAAATTTTTTTTTTAAAAAAAGATTCTTATATGGTTAAAAAATCTCTCAAGCTCAAAATATTTCATTTTATTCTCTTATTTTTTATGTCACGTATTAAATATATATATGTTATTAATAAAATAACTTTGATAAATTAGAAGTGTTTATCTCTTAGTTACCAAACATTTCCCAATATTACGATGTACATATCAAATCGGCCTCCAAAAGCTATAGATCACCTGGTTAGGGATCGGTTCTATAACAGCTAAGGTTGTGCTAAAATAAAAGTTGCCCACGTATTTACTTAAATTTATTTTTTTTAGCCTTGATTATTCTTCTAATTTTAAGAAAATTACTTTCATATCACAAATGTAATTTTTTTTTATCGATTAAATTAAGCCACGAATAAGCGTAATTCAATACGTAACGTAAAATATCATTTTTCCACAATGACAATTCCCTCCTTTTCATTATGAAAATAATTTTATTGTTGATAATCTATATAATATTATAAATACATATATATATATATAGCAATTTATAAAAAATATTGGATGCATTTATTATAAAAGTAGTGTTGTTAAATGGATACTCAAAATTTCATCTAGAAAAAATATCACTCAACCCTGAAGATTTTGCTCATAGAAGGAACAAAGGTGTAAACACATATTATCGAAATCTAGAAGGCTTAAAGCAATATTTTTTCGGGCTAAAATATCGAGTTAGCCGTTTTAAAAAATGGTGGGCCCAAAATAAGCAGTTAAACTACTATAACACTAAATTTTATAACAAAATAATGAATTTATAAATTCGAATAAATTGCTCACTTACCCTTTATAATACTCAATTTTATCGGACCCTAAAAAAGGGTAGAAATCCGAGTAAACGGTTCGGTCAATAACGCGCGGTGAATAGATCGGATATTCATAGGAACGGGTTGAAAGCCTCGAGACAAGTAAATAATGCGGTTGTGATATTCTTAAATATTTAGAACTCGAAATTTGATTGTCATTTTTTAAAAGACCCTTTTAAAGTTATATATCATATGAGCGAATATACTATTTGACGATGATCGCAGTTAAAACTGGTATACGCAAATAATTTTACCGTGGTTATAACCATAAGCATAAACGATCTAACAAGCGAAAGTTTACGAGAAAATAAAAAGAACCACTCAATTAAATATACCATAAATATTGGCGACAGCACACTTTCCCACGTATAATGGAGTTTTCATGTGAGCATCTAAATTAGCAGTAATATTGGAGACGTTTTATTATCCTTCTGTGGGGGACCTTGGTATTCAACCCTGTAACTCGAGCTATATAACATTGGCTTAGCGTGATAACTACCTTAAAATATATTTTCTGTCAAAGATATAAGGATTGGAAGACTTAGGCGCCATGTTAAATGATTTTCCTGGAGGATCCAATTCGTCATGGTGGAAAAAAAGAAGTAATTTTATTTATAAAATTTGAGGCTAATCAACTGGAGTGAGTTTCAAACGTTTTACCACCTTACATGAGGGCTATATTTTTTTTGTTGAGATTCATGGAAATTCATAGGAAAGTTGGAAGAGCAGATTTTGTGGGTATCTAAAATTTGAATACAAATTTTTTTTTCTCGTTGAATAAGTAGTTGTAGATATTTCAAGACTTTTTTTAAAGAAGTAAGAGTATATTTATATCAGCGAAATAGTCCAATCACGTTGGTTTAAATTGAGACCAATGGGATTATTTTATAATCGAGAATTTAGTATTTTTAAACTAACGCGCGAATCAAAAAAATCAATGATTATAATTTTAAAAAAATCTTTGAAACGATGAAAAAGATACCCTTAATCTCAATCGATATTACTTGATAATATTAAGCATCACGATGTCTGAAGATATTAATTTAATCTTTTATCCACGCGCATTATCTATCACGCATGCTCCGTTTCCGAAATTTATTTACTTAAAATGAAATTCTATTTTTTCTTTACGATCACTAGGAAAATAAATAAATACACTTTAAAAAAAGGGGGGGGGGAAGAGGTGTTGAAACTAGGGGATCTACAAATGGGCAATACCGCAAATAAAATTATTTTTAAACAAAATTTTTTTATAAAATGGGATGGCGGGTGAATCCTTAAAAACGCGGGAATGCATACGATTAAAAAAACCTGTACACCTCTTAGTTCGACTGTGATCTATTCTTTAAAATAAAAATAAAATGGTCTTCGAGAATTAATTTCGCAAAGTGATTTATAGACGAAAAATTACTAAATCCTTATTTTCAAAAAATACCGGGCGAATTTTTCTAGAGGTGATTTTATCCCGCTATTCTGTACTTGTCTTTTGGCGCGCTATAATTCCTCGGCTCATTAATCGAAGGGAAAGGAATTTCGTAAACAAAAATTTTCTCTTGAAAAGAAATTAGCAGAAGGAACGATAAATTTTGTAGTTAAAATGTTTTCCTCGGAAATTCTTTGTTGTTGCCATAAAACTATATAACGGAAGCACTTTTTGATCATGCTATAAATACGATCATATGATGATGATGAAAAAAAAACCGGGGGTGGCATTCATCCATTTCCCGATAATTTAAAACTTTTATGAAAATAAAATGATACAGAAAGAATTTTTTTTAAAGGTTATATAAAAATCCCGCAAGAGGGCGATTGATTAACAAATAGCGATAGGGGACATTTTGACCGGAAAGTCCTAAAGGTAGAGTGAATGAATATAAGGCATACATATACATATTCTATTTCAAGGATTGATTGTTAAAGGGCTCAGAAAAGTAATCGAACTGAAACAGCAAGCAAAGGCTTATCGAACTTTAATTTATGAGAATCGTAATGGTATATTCGTTATCGATTGTTGCCAAATGACACATAAAATAAACCGCAACAAAAATAAGATTATATTAGTTAATATTTTACCTTCTAAAGAATCATTAATTTGATACTCAACCGTGAATCAAGGCATCGAGTTAGAATGAAAATCTTACAGGGTAAAAATAGTAATTTAAAAAAAATTTTTTTTATCACTCATTATTTAAACCAATAGGCGCCGTACAGATTAAATATGATAGGGATTCGATGGCACGCGCGAAAATTAGTCATTTTTAAAATCCACCAATCATAATCGAATATAATATATTTTTTTTGGTAAATCTCTGACAGTTTCGATAAATATAAGGTCAACACGGAATAACGATTCGAAGACAAATTATATTTATTGATACAATTAAGGGATAATTTGGCGGATATGGTAGCAAAATTAAACATTTAATACGTCTAAATAAAACTAGGAATATTCACATTACATAATCGTTTAATGTATTTTTTTGTGGGGAGAATAATAGTATATATAGACAGAGTTACAAAATAGGGAGTATAATACATTATAGATGATAGTAAAAAATATTATCATTATCATTTTTTTTTCTCTCTTCTGGACAACCTTCAAAATCTTCTTGGCGGACTTGTCCTGCGATTAGGTGGGCCAGACTGGTAACTAGAATTTTGCGATTATATTAATTAATTAAAATCGTAAACTTATGATTGGATGATTGGGATATATAGGATTTTTTTAAAAAAATTTTTATTATTTTGGGCAAATGTTTCGATTTAGGGGGGTTTTCGAGTTGGTTTACTTTTTTAAAAGCATATTTTTTTTAAGGGAATATTACCTATGCGCATTTCTTGCCGGGGGCGAGTAATCTCTGGGCGGATAATTTCTGGTAGGCGCGTGCTCCCTGACAATTTTAGATGGCGGAGGCGGACTTCTGAGAACGTTATTATAAAAATCATAAATACGGACGCATTAAAAAAAAAATTAATTTGTTATGAAGGCAATTGTCAATTACGAGGGAGCTCATAAATTAATCGCTAATATTGCATTTAATTTTTTTAAAACCTTCTGTGAGAAGGTGGAGGGCCGCGAAAAGCAGGCGGAAACCCAGAACTCTCACGCGCGGGAGGTCTCGCGTAACCGTTGCTCCTCCTGGGCTCACTTCTATCCATTCGTTGTGGAGGCGAAGGTAAGCGCCTCTCGACCGCTCTTTCTTGGGGCCTGGAGTATGGACTTCGAGGTCTATTTGAGAATCTTTCGCTACCCCTTCTACTACCCCTACTGAAGGATGAAGCGGGGGGTGGATAATTACTCCTAGATGGGGATGGGTACGGGTTATATCTGTTACCGCCACCCCGGGAGTAGGAAGATCTATTACCATTGTGGGAAGGCGGGGCACTGTCGTATATAGGGGGAGGGCCCGAATAACGCCTGGATGATGCGGGTGCATGATACTCTTCATAACGATGATCGCTTCTTCCACCACCACGATATGGGGGAGGGCCGCCTCTTGGAGATTCGTGATAAGTTGGATATGGCGGCCCCCTGGATTCGTAGGAGCGGTAGTGTGAGGGTTGTTCAGCTAATCTATCGTGATAAGGTGGGATGGCATCGCGACTGTCTCCCCTTCCACCGCTCCTTCTGGAACCACCGTCATAGGACGAGTACCTATCCCCGCGCCTTGCAGGGGGGCCTCGACTTCCCCTAAAACTACCCCTAAAGGAACCACGGAAACCTCCTCTTCTGTCACTATTGTAACCTCCTCCCCTGGGATAAGACGGTTTTTTTATTCTGGAAAGTTCTACTCGCAGCACATCGCTGCCAAGCGTCTTATTATTCATTGATCTCATAGCGTCGTGGGCAGCTTGCTTGTCGAAATACTCTATGAAGGCGAATCCGGACGGATCCCTGGCTACCCAAACTTCCTTGAGATCTCCGTAAGGTGCGAACGCGCGTTCCAGTTCCTCCTTACTGGCGCTTTTCACATCCCCGACAAATAAACGCGTATCGCTCATTAGATTTTGAAGTATTTTTTTTAGGATATCAGGCTTGGTACTTCTTAAGTAAAATGTGAAATAATTACGAATTCAAGTTAAATTAATAATTAAGATATTTAAAAGAAAATTCGGGCAAGTTTTTATAAACTTAAAAAAAACCCTTCACGGATGCCTTATTTTAAATGGCGAAAATCTCCGGCACAAATCGTATTTAAAATTTGGATGTAGTGCAAAAAAAAATGGTAATTAGACTTTTTAATTAATTTTATTTTATCAAAAAAATATTTGTCTCTTTAATTTAAAACTATTTACAATCATTAGCATGTTTTATTTCAGTGTTTTCATATAATCCTTTTTTTTTTGAAACATTGTTTTCATAATTTTAAAAAATTAGGTGATACGAGAAAGATCGAATACAAATGCGGTTTGCAATGTATAGTCCCACCTCTACTAGTGTCGCTAAACGGTTCGATTTTAGCCGATTTTTAAAAAACGGCTAACTCGACTTCAGAAAATAATATTATGCGAGCTGAAAGATTTTCGCTCATAAGTTGACACGCTATTGGCGAAATCGCAAGGCTTTAGACAATATTTTTTCTGGCTAAAATATCGAGTTAGCCATTTTAAAAATTAGTCGATACATTCTTCATTATTTTTTTTATCGGAGATACTCTGATATTGATATTTGCGATATCCGCCTGAATTAGGAAAGAAGGAGGTGCGGTTTATATTCATTTTCCTATTACATTTTAATTTAATCAAGAAAAAGGGGTTTCTTTTTAATAATTTTTTGACGCCCAGTTATTGTTGCGTCAGTATATTCAGGGATTTCCACTAGGAGAAGAGGGAAGTTGTGGAAGGGGGGTTAGATAGTTACGAAGACGTCATGAGTACGTTCGAATGGGTAGGATACTGTGTGGTGGAGGGGGGTATAAGTTCCCAGGATGCATCTCTGATTTTTATAAAAAAATTAATAGTAAATTTTCCGTAACATAAATCAATTTTTTCTTAAACATAATTGACAAGGAGATTTGTTTATCGCGAACTATTAATGTTTATATTCCTTGTTTTCTATTAAACGGATTCAAAACCGCGTCTGCCAGTAAATACCGAGTATAGGCATCATTTAATCCTTGGTGATAACTGCTCTTACTTCAGACTCTCATTTGTTTAACGAAACTGAGGATATTCTGAAGATAGATGGGCAAAAGCCAGAATGTGCGTAATATTAGATTCTAAAAAAACGAATTCTACTTAATCAATGAAATCAGACTTAGAGCTATCAACACTTTCTCTCATGTCATTCGGGTTTTAAAAAACAGTGGTTAATCTTTGATACAAGTGTCTTATTCGAAAATAATTCAATACTTGCTCCAATTAGGCGTTAATACTTTTATCACAATTACGTGATATACGGTCATCATAAGACAAATCGATGGAATCGCGATGCGGAAACGTAGAGTGAGAATATAGTTTGAAACTTTTTATAACGAACTGTTAACATACCATCGGCTTAATATGCAAAATAGAACGAAGTACCTTCTAAATAATCTTCCGGAATTTACATAACTATGTCATATCCCCCACCTTGTAATTTGAAGGGTGGACTTGTCATAATATATAGGAGCGCATATGAAGAGAAGATACTTTCTGCCAAAAAGTGTCCGAAATTTGGTCACGATCATCTATATGATCTATCGAAAGATTTAAACTAATTGATTAATTCATATTAAGGTTGAATATTTTATTTTAAAAAAAAAAGTGAATAAAAATAATTGAAATTTTAAATACACCCTAACATGATTCGATAAATTATAATCATTGAATAAAGGATGGCCATAAAAATCGATTTGATTAAAATCGCAATTTAAATAACCTTGATTTTTTTTAAATAAATGATTTAAATCAAAATCAGAGAGCTACAGGCTGGCCCAGGTTTTAAAATATACTCTGGGTAGGCCTAAAAAATTTTTAAAAACTACCTGGACCAAGCCGGGCCCAATATTTTAAATCGCCAAATCCGGGCCGGGCCGGTAAATATAAAACCCGGCATGGACCTAAAGTTTAAAAAGAAAATTTGGGCTAGGCCGTGTAAATGGTTCCTCTCTCTGTAGATCTCCGATCAAAATAGTTTACTATAATAAGCATAAGAACTTATAATCAAAAATAATATAAATTACTCGGTGTACTTTAAATTCACATAAATTTAAACTTCTTGCCACAATGTAAAAAAAATAATTGTTAAACCTAATCACAAAGTAAAGAAGAATATTTTTAAATTTTTAAATATAAAAACCAAAACTTAATATTATTAAATCAAAAGTTTTATTTTTTTTTAAATGTAATTCGAATATAGTATTCTTAAAAATAAAACTAAAATTAGTTTGTAAAATTTTTAAAAAAATACCATTCCAATAATAATAATCGATTACGAATTACAAGCACTATCTTTGTCCATAACTTGGGCATTTGAAATTAATTGATTAAAAGAAAACTATTTTTCCTACAATTAGCACCATTCAACTATTTACTTTCATTATTATTTCAAAAACATAATTTTATTAAATGGGACAGATCTAGCTAAGAATTTTTAGCAAGATAGATAAAGAAATTTGAAGAAATATTCATTTTTTTCCCAAATTTTTTTTGAAGATCACAAAATTTGAAGATTTTTTTTTTATAAAGATCAAATAATATTTAAAAGATATTTTGCAAAAAATTATTAGAAATTTCATCAAAAAGCCTGTTTGAGCACTCATAAAAATATAACTCAGAGATCAGAGTAAATATTAAACTTCTATAGATAAGAAATTGGTGTTAGGGTATAAAATTAGACACACATGCAACGATAACTTTTGGGTCTAAAATTTGAAATATTTTTATGTTTAGAGAGCCAGCCTTTTTATTTAATAAAAATCAAATATGCCAAAAAATTACCCATTTTGCATGCAAGGTAATGTTATACTGAGGTTAAGGAGTCCTTAACCTATAAAAGTCCTTAAAATTTAAATCCATTATTCTCTGATTAACCCTTTTTGGCAGGATAAGAGTTTTGTTAAATGGCTAGCTTTGAGCTGATTTTCAAAGACGGCTAACTCGATACTTCACCCAGAAAAATATTCCACATGCCTGAAGATTTTGCTCATAGAAGGAACAAAGGTTTAAACATATATTATCAAAATCTTGAGACTTAGCCAATATTTTTCTAGTCGTTTTTAAAACAGGCCCAAAACGAGCAATTTAACAACATGAATTGGAGACTACTTACAAAATATTTTAAGATAAACTTTAATGCTTAGATCATCTGTATTGAAGCCACCAAAAATATTAAAATTAAAAATATTTTTTTTGAAACATCCCAATTTATTAAACAAAGTTATATGATATTTATATTTGAAACATGAGTTAATTAAATATGACATTTATTATTTTTAAAAAAAATTCAAGTTTTTATAAGCTAAATAATTATTAATTTTGATGATCAAAACAGATTTATAATAAGATGGAGGTGGGATCGATGTAATGTTGCCCTCCGAGATATGGCTAAGAGGTGGTATCCATATGATTACAACTTATTTTTTTTTAAATATTATTGAAAAATTTGAAATTATCAACACATATTTTCCATATCCATAAGGCTTAAAATATAAGGTATTTGATTAAAATAATGTTTAAATTCAAAAAATTACACTTTAAACCAAAAATATCAATTTATTTTAAACAGGATTTTTGACAATCCTAATTTATTTAATTTAATATTAATAACTTTAGTAAACTAAAGAAGTTTTGTAATTAAAAGGCCTGTTTCATTAATAAAAATATGCATAATGTTGAAAGATAAAACCAGGATAGTGATCTGCATCGGGCCTAATTTTTCAAGCCTGGCCTGGCCCAAAATTTTATATAAAGTTTTGCCCGGCCCGAACCTAAAACTTTTTTAAACATTTTGCTGGCCCTGCCTGGCTTAAATTTATTTAAATATAGAAATTAATTTTTATAATTACTCAAATTAACAACTACTTTCTATAAATTAAATCACATATTTTTATTTTACATAAAAATTTCAACATTAAATTGATAAATTTAGAATATATTTTAAAAAAAATCTTAAGGCCTGATCCAACCCAGCCCAAATTTTCTTGAAAAATATTAATTTCGGGATGTGTCAGGTTGAGCCTACTTTTGCAGATCTCTAAACCAGGGTATTAAACTGAAGTATAATGATTTTATTCTATTCCAATTCTTAGTTTAACAAAAATAATGTGGTTGAAATCTATTTCAATCATTTATAATAAAATTTATATTTATTCCAGTTTAGAAAATTTATTTTTCTTCCAGGAGTTTTAAATTAGTCTTGACCCTTAATAATCTAATAAAAATAATATAAATAAAATTTAAACAAAATAAAGTGATTATTTTAAAAATTTTATCAAAAACATGAATAAAAAAACGCTAAAACATATTTTGAATTATCTAATAAAATAAATAAAAAAATATTCAAATAATGCTAATCATTTAAAATAAAATAAATATATATGATCAAAAAACCAGTTAAAACAAGAAGCTCTTCTCAAAATCAAATTTTTGAAAAATACTTCTTACCTGATATCATTTTTGAAAATGTCAGCAAATTTAAAGAAAATTATAAATTTGAAATAAAAAAATTTGCAAAAACATACAAATATTGTGAAAAATAGGTTGTTTTTTTAAAAAAAAATCAAATTTGGTTCTCCAAAATAAATTTTTTAATTCCAACTAGTGTTGTTATAAAGCCTGATTTAGTTTGATTTTTATAATGGCCAAATTAAGATTTAAGCTAGAATAATATTATGTAAGCCTCGAGATTTAAAAAATAGAATTTCAAACGTATCTGCCATCTATAAGCATAATCTCCTGCCTTTAGTGAAATTATTTTGGTTAAAATCTTAATTAGGCTGTTTTTAAAAATCAGCTTAGTGCACACAAATTGAGCATTTCTGTGTTTAAAATTGAATCGTGATTTTTTTTTATTAAAATATGGATAGATTAAGTTTACAAAATAAGCAAATTATTACTTTATATTTAATTAATAAAAAACCAAAATCAACTAAGACGAGAAGGAAGACTACTAAAATATTCATGGAAAGAAATTTATTCTTGGAATATATTACATTAATACAAGGATGAGGAGAACAACTTTCTCTTATATTCTGAAGCTCATCCATGACGAT